CTGCAAAGCAAATCCCATTTTCTTATCGATGTCTATTATAAAATCAGATATATATCCGTGGAAAAGAAATTCCCAAGATTCTAAGTCAAAAATTGTTAGAGGACAGCAGCAGTTACTTTGAAACGTGTTCCAAATTTTGAAGTGTTTGACATGATTTTCCCATCTTTAAGATTCATCTGTAACCTATCTTTGCAGAAAATATTGGTTAATAACTAAAAAGGATCAACAAATCTTAGAACTAAGCTCTCCTTCCTCTCTGGTCTAGATGTTTACAAAGTCCAAGGACCCACGTTATAATAATGCATGTTGTTAATGGTGATGTAGTCTAGCAGGCAAAGTAGTACAGTTCCTTAAATTTTGGAGCAGATAATGGAAAAGTCAATGAATTCTGTGCTTCATCATTTTCTTAATCTAAAAATTCACTCTATTTAGCTTATTAATAAAAGGCTACCTAGAGCCGAACAACCTCAGCATGGCACTTTAGGTGGTCTAGTCTGAGTGCCACAACCACAGTCTAAGGAAACTGATGGTGTGTGAGGTTCTAGAGCAGGACACAATCCAAGAACTAAAGCAAGGTTAGAACCTTGTTATTCGTAGCAGTTTCTACAGAGAAGCAGTTAAAACTTCAAATAACTCATAATTTATCTCTGCTTGATTCTTCTTGATTCTACTTGTAGGATTCAATCCTCATGGAGAATATAGTCAAATAGCTTCATGAAGATCAATTGTTTTTGTAGATATTTTAGAAATAATTTCAAATTATGTGGAGGTATAATCTACTTTTATTTTTCTCTCTAAGTTAAGGAAAGGTGTGGTCTGTTTAATTTGCTCTGTATCAGAGAATGTGATTTTTAAAAATATCATACAATTGCTAGAAAGTCTGTCACCATATTTCCAGGGAACTTATTTATTACTCTAGTAAACATTTAAATTAAACACCAGAGTTAAAGAAGATCTGCAATGGTGACATGAACAGGAATTTGAACTATTCTAGAATTATTATTTTTTCAAGCATCCTATTTGGTTGGTTGTGCATATCCTATTTGGTTGGTTGGGCATATTTTAGAGTATCAGATTCTTTTCTAAGGGACCCCATTGCATTTTTGCTTTTGAATCTTTGCTTTAATATTTATTATAAAGCACACAGTACCATGTTTCAGTATTTGGTATTTAAAATGCTTTAGTGATTTACCACGCTTCAATCAATTGAAATTCTTTAATGGGCAAAAAAATTCCCTTATTTGATAAAAGATTAATTAGCAAGGGCTGTACTTGGATTAGGAACATCCTTGGGTTATAGCTACATTTAAAACTCATATGGCTTTCACCATTGAATGTGGAGTGATTTGATGGAATTCATCAAAAGATATCTGCTACAATATAACTCAAAGTATGAGACAGACCATAATGTTTAGTAGAAGCCGCATGGGAAACACTCTGGTTAGACCCTGAACTTGTCCCCTTTGATTTTATGACTCTGGGCAAGTTATTTAACCTCAATGGGTATCAATTCTCTCATCCATAGGTGGGGATAACACCTTATTGGGTATTAAAATTAGGTATTAAAGGGAATTAAATAAGATAATAAATTGCAAAGTATATAACAGTTGTTCCATAAACATTCTTTCTTTTCCATTTCTTTTCTTGTCTCAAAATAACATGAAATACATGAGGTAGCCAAGATCTCTCAACTGCTAAATGAAATATATTTACAAACTTCTGACTTTTCTGTACTCAAAATCGGTCAAGAAATAAACAGAAAATTGAGTTGGGATAATTTCATTACTTAGAAAGTCAGAATCTTTATTACAAGAGAGTCCTTATCTGACCAAACACCTTTGAAATCCTAAGCCTTAGTCCACACACTTTCAGCTGTGTTTTATAGAATCTCAATGTTAGTAGAAATTTTAAAGTATCATCTGGTCTAATTGTCCACCAAGTTTCCTAATCCCCTTTATCTTACAACTGGCCCTGTCTGAACCAAAGCCAAGAACAACAGACAGCTGGGGAAGGGTTGGGGATGTCACTGGACTGGAATTTCATCTGAGCAGCAGAATGGTGGGTTACAATCCAGGCGACCTTATTAAATATGTTTCTTCTGGAATGAGCCTTATCTACAAGCCTTCGGCATCCCTTAGTATGTTACAGAAGCATTCCCCTGATCTTCCTATGTAATTATTTCTATGCCTGCTCCAAGGGACCAGTCTGGCTGCTCAGCCTCCTTCCTTAGGAAGGCTTCCTGCCCAGGCCTGCTTTCTTCCTTGGCCTATCAAGAGTCTAGATCATTTACTGCTCTTGCCTTTCTGCCATTTATTGTTCTGGACATGCTGACTATTTTGACATAAAAATTTATAAAATGTTAATGGTTATCACTTCTCTTGGGATTATTCTCATCCTAAAAGTGACCAGAAAAACTACTGGTCTCATAGGCAGGAATGAAATCTGGGGCTATCTGGGACCGGGGCAACCTCATAGTGGAGATATCTTGGGGCGGCAAGGCATTGGGAGGTGCCCTCTACAAATTGTACAATGTACTTACCTTCCGCTTGTTGGTAAGATCAGGGTGGATAAGTGTTCATGGTAAGTTGAATGTCTCTTTCAACTTACACAATTACTGAATGCAATCGGAATGCTTTAGCATAAGATTGAAATAACCCAGTTAAGGCTGATTGCTATCTCATGAACTTCTCCATGCCTCAGCCATTCAATATTTCTAAAAAGAAAAAGCCAGTCCAACTGCTTCATGTTTAAATCTGGCACCTTCTCAAGTGGCTGTGAACAGGTAGGGCAGGCCCGCCAGGTGAACCTTTCTGACCGGGAGAGCTGGGGATTGTCACCATCCCAAGATATCTCCACCATGAGGTTGCCCAGGTCTCAGATAGCCTGATTTCATTCCTGCCTATGAGGCCACTGTAGTTTCACTAGTCACCTTTATGATGAAAGTAATCCCAAGAGAGGAGGTAACCAATAACATTTTATAAATTGGCATATCAAAATCATCAGCCTGTCCAGAACAATAAATGGCAGTAAGGCAAGAGCAGCAAATGGTTTAAACTCAACACACAGCTTTGCTTTTTGAGACGCAAATACTTGAGTAGAGTGATGGGGCTTCATTTAGAAATACCATCCACAGCTATAGAAAATCAGTGTACAGAAGAGTACACTGTGAGAAAGACAAATTATTCAGAAAAGTGGATTCTCAGAGAGGCTGAGCTATTACATGTGCCAGTTTTCCATCACAGGCCTTTAGGTTCTTGCTCTATCCAGCCATGACTGGAGAACATGATTAGAAATTCAAAAAGTGTTGATTCAGTCTTTTCTTGGTTATCTAGATGCTGGGATCGTCTATGTAATGTTTACTTAAGCTGAAAAAAACCAACACAAAATATCTTTGTCATATTTTCTTTATGCAGCAGCAAGTGCTCATTTCACTGAACATACTTACTGATTAGTTGTCTCATGGGTTAAGTTTACCTCTGATGTGTCAAGCATCAATTCCAATTCTCGGCTCTATCCTTCACGATTGCACTTAACAGATGACTTTAGACACTTCTCATCACTGACCACTGATCTGGGTGTTGTGTGGAAGACTTTGATAGGGGAATGGAGCCTAGTGGAGGCGAACGCTTTCAGTGGTCTTCCTCTTTTTTCCCCTCTCTCTTCCCTCATTTCTGTCTTTAAGAAAGAATATCCTTTTCCTTTTTGCCAAGTTTGCTCATTCTTGCTCTTCAACTTCCTGCCTCTTTTGGTTTATATTGCCAATTCTATCTTCTTTAATGCTGCCTCCCCTTCTCACATAAATATGGTCAGCTCATGACTTTATTATCCTACTGGTAACTAATATAATATTGAATGTCAACTGTAATTGAAAAATAACTTAAAGAAAATAAAAGTAAAATGAAAAAAAAAAGTCTTCATTATTCTAAAAAAAAAAAAAAATCTCAGTTACTCCATGATTTTACCCACTAAGGCATAATGCTGTCTCCCTTTCTCTTCACTATCAAACTTCTGAGCTTTCTGTTGCCTTTGCCTCTTCCTGCCTCACCAGAGGAAATTTTAGCATTTTGAAATCTGGTACATTCCTCATCTTTCCAATCCTTAACTGGAGCCTTGTGATTGACAGGTTAAATGGCAGTTCCCTGAAGCATAAATCCTTGACCATCTGCCACATCCCCAAATCTCTCCTCCCTTGGCTTCTGAGACCTGGTCCAATTGTAATTCCCATCTTTGGTTTTTGAACTCTTCTACCTCCCTTGTGGCTTTTCTCACCCGCTTTGTCCCTGAATACAGATTTTTCTTTAGGCTACATCTCTCTCTTTTGGCTTTCCTTCAGATTCCTTCCATCTTTAGCACTTCAACTGCTGATATCTATGTTACCACTTCCAAACCTGTATTTCTATTGATGTCCCCTCTCATGTTTCTAGGTATCTCCTAATGACATCCAGGCATCTCCACCTGGATATCTTTGTCAGCCTTGATAAATCAGAAACCCAAATCCCCTTTCCTCCCTCTAAATCAACTCCTTTTCATAGACTCCTGGCTCTTTCCAAAGTGCTACCTGATGCTCGCACTCAAACCCTGGAGTCTCGTTAACTCCTCCTAAATGTTTAGGACTTTATTTCTTCTACTCTGTGATTATTTAAATACATCTCTTACTTTCTTTTCATCAGCGTAGTTCAGGTTCTCATTTTTTCTTGTTTTTATTAAAATAGCTTCTTGAATCATATATTTGCTTCCTAAATTTCTTGCTCTAGCGTATTCTATTTACTACAGTGGAAATCTATAAACTACAGTAGATATATACCACAGTGTATTTCTCTATATACTCAGTAGAAATCCTCCTATTAGAAATCATCAGGGATTGGTAGCTTGTGGGTTAATAACAAGAACATCAATTAAAACAGGGAATTGTGACAATAGACACATACCATAAATATTTTCTTTTAACTTAAAGCACATAAATATACATTAATCTTTTTTTTTTTTTTTTTTTTTTGCAGAAAAGAAAAGAAAAACTTTATTAGAAGAGACAGTACACTTTCATACATGGAAGTGGGCCTGAGCAAAAGAAGAGTGGCTCAAAGGCCAAATATACATTAATCTTAATACCTTTTGGCCCATTGATTCACGTTCTGCATCATCTTTCTTGCATGAGCATCTGAACTGCATAATTTCTTTCTTTTTTTTTAAGTGGAACACAAATTAAAGAATTGTTTGAGGCAATCTAAGCAGTAAATCCTAAATTGTTATGGTATCTCACCAATCACAACTTTCTCACCCATAGTTAATTTGGTGACATTAAAAAAACTCTCAGAAAGTACAAATCTTTTTCTTCTACCACTTTTGTCAGTTTATTTTAAATTGTAAATGAATTATATAAGCATAAAAACAAAGACGATTTGTATAAACAGGTTTAGGAGCAAACACAATTTACTCTTGGTAAGAATTGATGTCATGTTACCTAACTAGAATGAATGTGTGTGTGTGTGTGTGTGTGTGTGTGTGTGTGTGTGTATTACAACTGATGGGAGCAGAAGAACTCAAATATTCTGTCTAGAGAGGAACCCATCAGTGACGAGATGAGCCATCTGTGTGTGGCGGCCAAGAATCAGGGCTGGGAAAGATTAGCTAGTCTGGGGATTCAACTCTATGGGGGTCAGTTAACAGAGCATCTACTGTATTGTCAAATTACCTGGAGTGAGATATCTTTGTTTCTGAAATTCTAAAGAATACCACTAACAATCTGTGGAGATACCTGATCTCATGGGAACTGCACTTTGAGGGGAGAGAGTGCTGTTGGAGCCATACCACACCAAAAACTTCTGCCTTGGCAGCAGCGGCTACTAGTCTCACATCCAGCTACAGGGTCTTTTCAAAGTTTTTTTTTTTTTTTTTTTTTCCCCACAGATATTTTTAAAAACACATACGCAAAAACTACAAAAAAAAAAAAAAAATCAAAATGAAGACATTTATACACATCTGATTTTGATGTAGAATTTCCATAGCAACATACTGCTCATTGTTTAATGTTCGGTAACTTAGAGGCCGATTGGCTCATAAAACAATTGGGTAGTGTTCAGATTTAGATTATAGGAACCTTGTTCGTTTATAAAATATTATGATCTTGAGCCTTTCAATCTACCATGAGTTAATGCCTCCTCTGGGAATTGATGTCATATTACTTAACTAGAATCACTCCTGGAGAGCAAAAATAATTTAGTGAGAAAAAAAATCATAAAAGAAATCGAGTGTACTAACCCATGGATTAAAATATAATTTAGAAAACTCTTTCTGACTTAGTGTTCATCTGGGAAATGATCTTTCTGAGTCTTGTCCTCTACGCCAAATATTAGAATCACTTCCCTTTAACATTTAAAAATTTATCACTTAAGCTCAAAGCCAGCCCAACACTATCTTGGGATTCTTAAAAAAAGTGTTCTCCTTCCAAAATCAAGCCCACTCATTTAACACATGTTTCCAGAGGTTCATTGACTAGTGGATAATGAGAGGTTCAGATTTCATTGACATGCAGAAAGTGGACTCTGTGTGTTCTTGTAGGGCCTTTAGACCAGGCCTGGAAAAGCCGATGTGGGCCTGTCCCTTGGACCTGTGTCAGTGTGCTGTCACTGGGACTTCGGAAACATTTTACAATGCAGCCCTGAACTCTGGTGCACGGGTGACTTGTTTTTCCAAAAGGAAAGAAGGCCAGCATTACTATGTAAGCGGAGGAAGTTGACATGATCTCATTCACGGGCCTTTCTTCTATTTGTGTCAGGGGAATCCGCCTCTGTGGAATAGCAAGCCTTTCTTTTGGCCACACATGGTTGTCTGCTTAATTTTCCTCATTCTTAACCTTTGCCTCCTCCTTGGAATGAAGTGTGAAATACTGCCAAGACTCTGCATTCTTTCTGTATATCTTCCTCACAATAGTCAAGGAGAGCAGGGTTAAAGATGTTTGTACATCCAGAAAATAACTCCAGCACACAGAACAAGGTCTGAACAGCCACCTCCAATAGGAAAAAGTTAACATAAAAAGGAGTTTGGAGAAAAATATTGGTTTCTGTCTCATACAATCTTCATGGTAGCAACCTAGTTAAACATTGTCTAATTTAAATTAATGGTAAACATACCTTGTAAATAATAAAAGTTCCCAAAGCCAAACTTATATTTAATAGCACTAATTGCCTTCGAATCAGTCCCACCTTTTAAAACGGTTTTAATCCAAGCAGCACGTTAATTATTGAATCATATTTAAATCCTTGCAAAGTAATCATTTAATTTGCTACATTTTATATAGTGATGCTTTATTTTTCTATTCTTCAGTTGCTGTACATGTTGTAGAACTATGAAGAATGCTATAGATCAGATTATTCTGAGAAATGTAGAGCTAGTGCTTTGACTATTTGTAGCCAACATTTAAATACCCATTCTATTATGCTACTTCACAAGACATTGAAGAAGGTCTTTATCATGGTCTCAGTTGTGATTGGAAAACATTTTTACGGGTTTACTTAAAAAAGAGAATGAAAGAGCTCTGTTTCTAAATGTCTGGTGCTAATATCAGCTGTGTGAGCAGCAATTTTAGCCATAGTATTTTATTACTGAACTTCCTATTTCTCATTCTCAAGGAAGGAGAAAGAAGAAATCCATACTTTATAAAAGCATTTGAGAATAGAATATAGAGGTTGTTGTTTGATGACCTGTATATTAGAACTACACTCAGTGATGTGCCACACATACATCCTTCTTCCCCTTCTTTATACTCTTCTTATTGTACCATCATACAGGAGCCAAAGAGGACAATATCATCATGGAACTCATTTTTCATTCTATGCTATGTGACTGGAAGCTTAAGGTCTTCTGGGAACCTCTACAGCACATTGAGGCCCCATGAAATCGGTCAGGAAAGAAACCATTCGGGCCCACTTGCTTCTTTCTTCACATGCTGTCTTTTAAAGGGAATGCTAGCTTCCTTTTAGAGATCTGTTCTTGATCCCTTTTTTCCTTTACTATTTAATAATTATAACAACATATGAGCACTATGGAAAACAGAAAAGAAGTAAAACCTATCTCCTTTGATAAAATTATCCCAACACAAGCAGTGTTTTTTGTTTTTGTTTTTTGTTTTTTTTTTAATCTATTGTCACTCGGTCCCTTTATATGAACTTTTTTACATAGCTGTAATCATGATGTATGTTCAGGGTCTTTTTTTTTTAAACAGTTAACAGAAATGCTGTTGCATGTTCCTACACAGTCTTCATAATTTTGACTTAAAAGAGCTAAACGATAAATAGTTCAAGAAGTAGATGGTCCATCTTTTATTTAAGAATGCCTCCTGTTTTTTAAAATTTCAGTTTCTGTTTATTTTCTTTCGCAAGTATAAGTAACACTAATAATCATATTAATTTCTATCACTTTCTCTTTATTTTTAGACATGTTCTTATGCTAGAGACCCAGAAGTGGGTATACTGGGTCAATGGTTATGAACATTCCGGAGCTCTTAAAATATATGTCAAATTGCTCCCCGAAAGGGCTTAGCCAATTTATACTGAAGCAATTATGGATGAAAATTTCAGTTGCAGTGCAGTTTAGATTATACTCTATGTCTACTTAACCTGCAGCCTCAGGAAAGAACCAGACAGATATTACCTGTCTGTTCTATGCTCTGTGAAGAAAAGAATGCTAGTTTTAGGAATCGGCTTCAAGTGATTATTAGCAGAGAAAATTGACATCTTTCTCTGATAAGGTAAATTGGAGACCACATTATGCCTGGATGTTATGCTATTTAAATTCTTAGTCTTTATTATATTTCCGTTGCTTATTCACGTTTTATAGCTATGCACTATTTTATTCATAAAGATATTTTGATAAAGTCATATTTTTATAGGAAAGTTATTCAAGTGTGGAAGCATGTGTCAGACTCCAACTCAGCTGATTATATCATCCTCTGCTCAAAAACCCCTCTAGACTCCATCACTTCCAAAATAAATTCTGAATTCTTTATCCTGACATTTCAAGGCCTTCTCTCCTTGGTCCCAAACTTCCTTCTATCCTTATTTCTTCCTACAGGTTCTCTACATGCCAGTCAGTCAGTGATACTTGCTGTTCCTCAAATAGTCTTCACTGTCCTTGCTTACACTCTGTCCTGCTCCCACCATGGTTTCACCTTTCTGTCCAAATGATACTCATATTTCAAGATGTTTAAAGTCATCATGCCTTCCCGCAATCTTCCCTGACTCCTGGAATGCTTCTCCTCCCAAGTGCCTATAATTTCTTCCAACTCTGAACCATATTCAAACTTTTGTTGTTGCTTTAAAAAATTTATTTCAGCCAGTGATTTACTTTACCTATTTAGCTATATTTTTGCATTTTTACCAGCTTTATTGAGGTGTAATTGATAAATAAAAATCATATATATTTAAGGTGTGCAATGTGATGATTTTATATTCGAATACATGATGAAATGTTTACCACAGCAAGCTAATTAACACATTTATCACCTGACATAGTTACCTGGCCCATGGTAAAAGTTCTGCTTCTCTCTTAACGCATTTATCATAGTCTATCTCATACTTAGTGCTTGTAAACTTGTCAAATCCCATTAAGTTATAATATTTTTGAGGACAGGAAAACTTACTCATTTGCTAATTGTTCACAATATTTAGCAATGTGTTTTACATATAGTAAATAAATATATAGTATTATGTATAGTATTAGTAAATTTTTATTTAATTAAAGTATCTAAATTGAGCTTGAGACCCTTTAGCAGCAGCTATTGAAATACAAACAAAATCTCAAGAGGGAGTAACTATACATCTATGCTCACATGGTAACTGATGTGAATAATTCTGAACTTCACATGTTTTGAGATTTTTAAGTGCCTCCTGAATCATCAAAGATACAATGATGCCGTTAGACTTTTTCAGGTTGAGAATATATATATATATTCAGGTTACTTTGATTAGGGTATTTATTGTAAGGATTCACAGGGAAATAAAGAATGATAAGAAATCATCTTGTTTACCATGCAACCAGGGCTCCTGGAGAACCAGAATTTTCAGCTCTGTTCGCCTAGTTTCCTGTCTCCTCAGCGTAGGCTTTTGTTGCTTCCAACTCCAGAATTTGTTCATTATGGTCAAATAATGGTCAATCAGCTTCTGTTCGCTTTTGCTGCCACTACTTTCATCGAGACTGACTTTGTCATTCAAGTGGAAGATTTGACTGGTCAGCCAATCCCAACCTACTAATGTCCTTCAGCCATCTATGGGTTGGACCTCAGTCTGCAAGGTGACCACATGCCAGAACTTGCAGACTGAGGTC